TATATATATTACATATTAATGCAACTTGTCAGTAAATGCAATTTAGTTGAGGAAAGGTTAATTTTATTGATATCTCAAGTGCAAAAATTGGAGTAATTGTCAGCAGTCTTTAAATCAAGTTCTAAATAGAAGTTCCAATATTAATGGAAATTCATCCAGGCCATGAATTTCCATTAATATTCAGGAAATCATAGATCCAGTGGAGCTTCAAAAATCACCACATAGTATTTTTTTCCCAGAGGTGAAATTTTATCATTGCAATAGGAAAAATTAACCTCTCATCTTGAGTATAGATCAAGGAAATTGGCATGATTTAATATCAACATAAGCACCAACTTTGCTTCTTCCAAGTAGAGCCAGGCTAGACCACAGAACTTATTTCAGAATTCATGACACTGTAACTTGTGAATCACACACATTGGTATCAATTAGATATACTCATACAAAAAAAAGCTTGAATTTACTTCAACATTATATAATAAATAAGCATTTTAAAGAAATATGTATGACTAATTCTGAGTCATAAGCCATTTTAATGGAAAACATGAATATGTCTCCTTTGAAAAACAGGAAATTCCCTAGAATTCCTTTATCCTTTGTCTCATTGGGTTCTGACCCAGCTAGCACAGTGCATTCCTGTAGACCCAGGGACAGGACAGAAACTCTGTGCCATAAGCAGAATACTATAGTATTCCTTCCTAAATTTCACTCTTAGGAATGTGTTTGTTCAAGTGTTATTTACACAGCCCACTTATACAATGCAAAAAAAAATCATATTTCACACAATGAAAACAAACAAACAAACAAAAAAAAAAAAAAAACAGGTGGCCTTCAGAGAGAATAGGCATTCTGGATATAAGGCCTTATTTGAAAAAAAATTTTTTTTTCAAATAGGTCAAATTGAGAAAAGTAAAGAAGAAATTAAAAAAGACTAGGAGGGAATATTGGGGAAACATATTATACATGAATTAGCAAATGTAAAAAAGAAAACTGACATTTCACTTATCAGAGTTGATAGTGATACCTGGGTTCCTCTCAGAGGAAGTATAACCCAGCTCAGACCATTTTATTATATGCATCAAGGGCTAATCATATTAAACATTGTTTCATGGAGCAATTTCCAAAATTTAGGGGAATCATCTGAAACGTTAAACTGGCACCCAAATGAGTAAGAAATGTTCAGGTTGCTGTACCTGAACTGGTGACCTGGAGGGGATTGGAGTGTGGGAAGAAAGGAAAAACCTCTCTTGCCAATTGCAATGTGAGCTAGTACTCATCGATGCACAGATAGAGATTCCAAGATGAAGGAAGAAAGGTACTCACATCTCTTTTCTCCTTGGAAGCCTGAAGGAATTATGCCTGTCTTTTAAGGTGGAAAGAATGTGTAAATAACATTATTAATGTTCAGAATTAGCAATCCATGTCCACACTCACATGCACCCATGAGAAAGCAGAGTTTGGTTTGTATTTCTCATATAGCTTGATTTTACCATAGCTGATGTTCCCTGACATTATCACCTCTGTCATCTATTTCTAGGAATTGATTTAATACATGATGGAGGGATGTGGGAGGTGAGACAGGTCCTGCTTCAGGCAGGTGGGTTGCAGACTGTAGGATACATTGGGCAGCATGCTTTATCATCTGGCCCAAGTCTAAGTGAAAAATGATGAACCACACTAGGAAGAAACAGCCCAGCCTATCAGGGAAGGCAAAGCCCTCACCAGCCAGCTGTCAGTGCTGTGCTGTGCACAGGGATTCTCTAAAGTACAGGAC